ATAATAAAAAATGAAAAGGATGCATTTTGGGGGGCATTTGCGGCCACCTTGGTCCTCCTGCGAACCTTGGGGAACTCAGGACAACCCCGGTAGTTCGCAGTATGCACCCCCTTGCAATTATTGCATTTCGGAGGTTCGGCTCTTGGTTTTTTACATTCACCTGAAAGGTGTCTGCCGGCGCACTTAACACAAATGGGGATGGCTAAGCAGTTCCTCTGGCTATGTCCGAACCGCTGACATCGGTGACACTGCCCGACCAGTGTTCTCTGATGTTGGGGCTCAACCTTAACTTTAACGTTAAGGAGTTCCCGTTCATCGTATATATGTTTCTGGTTTTGGCTCACTTGAACCAAAACCAGAGGAAGTGGGCGATCCCCGCGCATCATCCTGGAGACAGATGTTGGCTGAAAACCCTTCTCCATCAAGGCATCCTCGATTTCAGCGGTTTCCAAATGTTCTGGTATTTCTCTGAAGACAGCTCTAATTTGTCTGTCTTCAGGAAGGGTGTACGTGTGATGGGGGATTTTTCCCCCACCAGGAGTTTGGACATTATCCTAAAGTCCTCGATAGTGGAAGGCTGGACCTTAATACCGTCAGCCAAGTTCACCGCTTTGGTATAGCTAATTTTGTGTAGGGTAGCTAGTTTCGTAAATTTGACCCACATGTCCTTCTGACGAACGACAATTGGGGGGACACGTGATTTTTTGACGTTTTATGGCGCCTCAGATCGCGGAGGGATGGGAGAGACATTTCCCTGAGTGTTTTGGTTTCCAACCTGATCTTGATTTTGTTATGGCTGTCTAGAGCCACCCTGTATGGTCGTCACTCTAATGTCTGACTTGTTTTCGATTTCATCGACAGACATTTCACCTTCTCCGTCTACGGAGGATTCAGTAGTGGAAAGTTCCGACTCGGAAGTGCTATTTTTGGCTTCGTCACGAAGCTTTGTTTTACTGACTACCCTTATGGGTTTCGTGCCGGTGCTTTTATTAGCCGGGACGGCTGGTTTAGTCGGGAGTGGAGGAAACTCCTCTGGAGTTTTGTATTGAAACTGGCTGTGCAGAGGGAGTGGCACAGTCAGAAGTATCTATGAGGGATACTCCCCACCCCTGGTGGGGGGTCAGAGGGCGTCCGAACTACCGCCCCGGGTCTGCCCTTTAACAACTCTGATGGGTTCAAGCCTAGGCGGTCAAGTAATAAACCCATAAGGGTAATTACTTCACCCCTATCCCTGGCCATCAAGCTGTCGAGCAGTTCCTCCATACTGCTACTAATAACTCACTCCCTGTATAATCCCAAGGGCGATCGATATAATGAACAGTCTCGCAAAATGATAAATCAGAACGCACTCACCAGAAGTCCAGAGGGTACTTGCACACAATAACCAACGCACTACACTATTACGAGAGATAACCACTGGTTTCATGGCTGATCATCAACCAGAAACACTGGGAAAATAACAATTTATTCGCAGCGAAAAAATTTGTGATTGTCAGTTTGACAGCTAACGTCACAATATAATGTTGTGACAAAATGAGAAAAAACCAAGAAAGTACCTGATAAAAATAGCTGCGTAAACGCAATCGAAACATAAGTGGAACCACCTATTGGTGTGACACCAAAGTCAACTTGCCAAGCTTTTTATGTCAGTGTTGGTGGTTTGGCCAATCAACCGAGAACTGCGGTGGCAGACATTTGGGAAGCTAACCTGAAATGCCATCGAACGAATCCACATGTTTCAAAGAGTGCTTATCTATTTATTTTTTGATTATCATGGAATTATTTTCCAGCAGTTTGACTGCATTAACCTTTCTAGATTTCATATCATTTTTAGAAACATGTGGATTCGTTTTTCGATAGCATTTCAGGTTAGCTTCCCAAATTTCTGCTACCGCAGTTGTCAGTTGATTGGTCAAACCACCAACACTGACATAAATAACTTGGCAAGTTGACTTTGGTGTCACACCAATAGGTGGTTCCACTTATGTTTCGATTGCGTTTACGCAGCTATTTTTATCAAGTACTTTCTTGGTTTTTTCTCATTTTGTCTTCAATCGAGAACCGCCTGCCCGGTACTGACGATGCCCAACAGGCTGAAACAGCTGTCTACCGGTGGCACTTGAATTTTCGATTTCTGTACCATAAAGAAAGTCAAAGTTACGCAAACATAAATACTATTCTGAGTTGTGTGGGTTGCGAATCACGGATATCGTTAGACTGCAAAAGTCACGATCACGAGCAACAAGCAACTAGTTTTACAAGTGATCACTGTCACTCACTGCACACACAAGTCTGAATGAATGTAACGTTACGAATATACAGTTATGAACTTATAATTTACGGACTTCTGTCCATTTCAAAAAACCCACTTTAATCCCAATATGACTGCAATATAAATGCGTTGGAAATACTGTACGTAATTAAATTCTAAGGATATCGCTACATAACACAGACTCAAATCTTAAATAATAACGTATTATCTTTTCATCGCTGTTTCTTAAAAATGAAATGATCAGTATGCAATTAATTGCACATTCTGAATTCCTATTACACTCTGAGGAACGCATATCCTAATGGACTTTGTGTTAAAACAAAAAAAAATTAACCAAATCAATTTGATCAGAAGATTTGTAATTATTTTCGATTCCCAACAATTTCCGTTGAAGTTGGAATTCATTCAAGTCCGGATTCACCATAAAAAATAAATGGATGAGAATGAAATTGCTCATTATGAAACACTGTTAAACTCTTTAGAGCATAAGAGAAATATGCAATGGCCATACCACGTTGAAAAGTGCCAGTTCTCGTCCGATCACTGAAGCCAAGCAACGTCGGGCGTGGTTAGTACTTGGATGGGTGACCGCTTGGGAACACCGCGTGTCGTTGTTTTTTCTTTTATTCCACAAGAAAACTATCTTTATAACGACTTATCACTATTTTGCCTGATAAGAGTTGCATGAATTTACATATTTTTTTAACTTTTTCTTTTAATTGACGCATTTTTTCTTGACGCATATCGTAATGGACTTTGTGTTGAAACAAAAAAAATTTTACCAAAACAATTTGATCAAGATCAAAAGACGTAATTATTTTCGATTCCCAACACTTTCCGTTTTGACAAAAACAATTTCTATCAGTTTTGGAAAAAAACTACCCCGAGCGCGAGGCTAATGATCATTACACTCGATGACGTTAGCACACCAAAAATAAAACAGGATGTGATTGCTCATTTTGAATTCCAGTTATAACTTTGAAGAACGCAAGAAATACATGCAACGGCCATACGACATTGAAAATTGCCAGTTCTCGTCCAATCGTTGAGAACTGACGCGATACTGAGTGTAATAGTATTTCATATTTGCTGCAGATCCTAATCGATTTTGTATGAAAACAAAAAAAAATTACCAAAACAATTTGACCAAAAAGACTTGTAATTATTTTCGATTCTCAACAAGATGCATCGACACAAGCATTATATCAACCCTGGTAATCTCTGTAGAACGAAGGAAAAATATGCAACGGCCATACCACGTTGAAAAGTGCCAGTTCTCGTCCAGATAACTGAAACATTTATTAAAAACATTCAGATTGCGAGAGATAAGTCCACAAGATTGATTGTGTTTAAAAGTCACAGGGATCTTCTTCCACAGGACATTATGGAACTTATTCGCGAGAAACACCGCGCCAGAAAAATGTGGCAAAATACTAGAGACCATCGATGCAAAGAGTTCATGCTCAGACTTGCAGAGAGGGTCAATCAA